AACGAGGGTGGATGGTTCTCAAAATCGACCTCGCTAAGGCCTATGAAAGAATTAATTGGTCTTTCCTGAGATCCACGCTTGAAGCTGCTAAGTTGCCTGGAGACTTCATCAACATGGTAATGGCTTGCGTGACCAAGGAGTTTCTGCCCTCCCGCGGCCTTCGTCAGGGATGCCCTCTCTCTCCTTATCTTTTTACGTTGTGTATTGAGAGACTTAACCATTGTATCAAGGATGCAGTTGCTAAGGGTGATTGGAACCCTATCTCGCTCTCTAAGAATGGACCGCCTCTAACGCATTTGTTTTTTGCAGATGACCTGGTGTTGTTCGCGGAAGCTGAGTTGGGTCAAGGAAACGTGATCATGGACTGTCTTAATCGCTTTTGTGAGGCGTCGGGCGAGAGAATTAGCAAAGAAAAATCGTGTGTTTTCTTCTCAAAGAACACCAGCAGTCACACCAAAAGCAGGATTAGCAACCAAATGGGGATACCGATCTCCAACAACATGGGGAAATATCTCGGAGTACCTGTTGTGCACGGACGGGTTACCAAGGATACTTATAAGTATGTTATTGAGAAGGTGGACCAGCGGCTCTCAGGGTGGAAAGTCCGTAATTTATCCCTCGCTGGTCGTGTTACTTTGGCGACCTCCGTCCTCAACGCCCTCCCAAACTATGTTATACAAACTGCAGTCTTACCGATGACAGTGTGCGACGTCATTGATCAGAAGATAAGGAGATTCGTGTGGGGTGGGGAAGAAGGGCAATCTAAAGTGCATCTGGTGAACTGGGAAACCATCTGCAAGGCTAAAGAAGATGGGGGGCTGGGTCTTCGCTCCGCCAGAGCCCTCAACCTTGCTTACATGATGAAGCTTGGCTGGATCTTCCTCAATAATGAGAATGAACTGTGGGTCAAAGTCATCCAGGGGAAGTATGTCAGACGAGATGCAAGGGGAATTATTAGCCTGCAGAACAAGAATACTTCGCGCCTCTGGCAGGGTATTTGTAAGGCTTTACTAGTGATGAAGCAAGAAACCATCTGGGATATTCGGAATGGTGAAAGCATCAACTTTTGGCATGACCACTGGTTGGCTGAGGGTGTGACCCTTAAAGACTATGCCACGGGCACAGATGACAGTATCAATTGGGATGCTTCTGTTGCGGACATGGCGACAATGACAGGTGAGTGGTGTTGGTCGAAAATAATGCCTTTGGTGGCTAATAGTATTATTCCTTTGATTGCAGGTACAGAAGCTCCTCACGTGGAATTGGGGGAGGACGTGACTGTGTGGGGCAGGGAGAAGGATGGAAAATTTCGACTGAGCTCTGCGTATTCAGCAGCGGCAGATTGGTTGAAAGAGGACTCAGATGAGGAGAATACGATCCACAATGCGCCTAATTGGAAACACTTATGGAAATGGCAGGGCCGAATAGAATCAAGCACTTCCTTTGGCTTGCTGTGCATGATCGTCTGTTGACTAATAGTGAAAGAAAAAGGAGAAAGTTGTGCTCCAATGACACTTGTGACATATGCAAGCAGGCGCCCGAAACAGCTGAACATATCATATGAAGCTGCCCAGAGGCAAAACAGGTATGGCAAGAACTTCAAATTGTGGAGACAACTCTAACTTGTGGCTTGGGGTTTGCAGATTGGTTGACAAAACACATCCAGGATGAGAATTCAGGCAATCTCTTTGGAGTTGCAGCTTGGTACCTATGGAAACGCCGCAATGAACGAATTTTTGAGAAGAAACACCAGGAGTTTCAACTCTTGCCTGCCGAATATTGAGCTGGAACAAAGCCATAAAGCAAGCATATGAGGACGAAGCGAAACTGCGAACTCCCATACGCAGCAAAACGATCTCCGAGCTAGCGTGGAAACCTCCGGATGAAGGGTGGGTGGTTGTTAATACGGATGGTTCGGTTCGACAACCCGAGTCAACAGCAGCGGCTGGAGGTCTTATCAGGGACGCTTTTGGCAGATGTCTCGCAACTTTTGTGGGGAACTTGGGAGTCAGCATAGTTACAAAAGCAGAAATCAAGGGGGCGATTCAGGGTCTCCGTCTTGCATGGTCTAAAGGATATAGGAAGGTTCATTTACAAGTGGATTTCATGACGGCTTTACCTCTTCTTCACTTCGATGGACCACAGCAATGAAAGACTTTTTAACCTTGCCGGTCAGGTTGAGCAGATTCTTCAGAAAGATTGGGAGATTAAGATCTCTCATGTTTATAAAGAATGCAATAAGGCGACGGATTTTTTGGCTAATAGAGCACATACCGCCAGTTTTGGTTTTCATGAAGTTGATATTTCTTATCCGGGTCTGAATTTCTGGATCCTGTATGATACCTTGGGCATTGCCCAATCTCGATTAATTTAAGTGCCACTCAGGGGCGCCCTTTTAGCGTCCCATCTTTTCAGTTTTCACCAAAAAAAAAAACGCCCCATTTATCACTTATTTAGAGGTGGCAAATGGATTGGATTGGTGGATCCATGGATCAAATGGATTGGATCTAATGGATTGATGGATTCATGGATTGGATCAAGTGGATTGGTGGATTATCCATGAATCCAAATGACATCCTCAACCAATGACCAATATGTAAAATGTAAAAAGTTTAGGTACTAAAATGTTACAATAAAAAATTTCAGGTACCAAAACGTAATTTCCAATGATATTTTTCGTATAAAAAAATAAAATTTAGGTACCAAAATGTAAAAAATAAAAATTATATGTACTAAACCGTAATTTACCAATGATCCATGGATCCAATCCATGAATCCACAAATCCAATGGGATTTGGATAAAATGAATTGGATTTAAATAGATTGAATTATGTGAATATTTTTAATGGATTGATGGATTGGATTGGTGGATTGGATTAAAATTGCCACCTCTACACTTATTACTAGATTTGGGCCCGTCCGTTGGCCGGATAGATTTTCTCAATGAACATAAACAACAATATCAATTGTATAAAGTAAGATAAAAAAATTTATTTAGTATATAGATATAATCCAAATTGTTTAACAATTGCAAAAAAAAAAAATAATAATTACATCGTATTCCGACATCCTAACTAATTCATTGAAAAAGGTTCGTACAGAAAGTAGGTGATAAAATCTTTGCGAGGGATCGACTCCTAAAATATTTTGCAAAACCACAATTTGATTTACTAATTGTTCTTAGAAATTACTGCACATTTTTAGATTTTTTTGTGATTGCTCTGTCATTAAGATAAAAAATAATCCAAATTGTTTAATAATTGCAAAAAAAAAAAAAAAAAACGACATCGTATTCTGACATCCTAACTAATTCATTGAAAAAGGTTCGTACAGAAAGTAGTCGATAAAATCTTTGCGAGGGATCGACTCCTAAAATATTTTGCAAAACCACACTTTGATTTACTACTTGCTGTTAGAGATTACTGCTCATTTTTTGATTTTTTTGTGATTGTTTTGCCAATAGCATCAAATTGAAGTAAATATGAAATGTTTACTATCATACAAAGTATATTAATAAAATCTTGAAAGAAATATTCTTTATTTCATCTCATTTTGTTTTTTAGATAACATTTAAATTTGTACGTTCATATGATAAAATATCATCGCATGCTTGGATAATTAAGGTAATTTATTGAAACTCATGAGTTATTTGTTTAAATTGGAGACCTTAATTTCTTATTACTTTTAATATGAATGAAAATTAATAATTCAATTACTTGACAAAAATCCTCAGTCATTTTACTTCATCCTAAATGACTCAATTATGAGTTAATAATTCTAATACATTGATCAAATATACACACTCGCTGGCAGGCTATCTTGAAGGTCGTTTCCGTTAGTGACGTGTCTTTTTGTTTCTTGGAGCTCTCGTGTCGTTGGAATTATTGTTGTAGTTGTTTTGTTGTACCATACCCTTTAAGACTTGCCTTCATTCATATCTTCAATAGTGTTTGCACGAATTCTAACCCAAACAGGTGAGTGGAATTATCAGGGGTGCTCTTCCACTAAGCTAATAGCCTGTCGTGGGGGCCCTCATCGGGGACCTCGCTATGACAAAAGCAAGCTTTTTTCTTACTATTTTCTGGTGGTTTCATTCATCAGTTTTGAAATAAGAACTTTGTGATCAGTGTATTGACTATACACCTAAAATTGTACTAACAATTTATGACCATAACTTTTTGGTTAGATGCATTAATCTAGGATATCAAATATAATTAGCTAAGATGCAAAACGCTTAACGCATAGCTTCAGTGAAGATCCTCAAGAAAGCTAATCATATGTTGGAAATTTGATATAGTCATTATCTAAACATTCTTGAATTTTGGCTTAATGTAAGACACGAAGCAATATTTTGGCATGAAAATGACTTCTTTTTTCCTAAATCACATGTGACATGTACACACATTAAATTATAAGATATATAAAATTATTATGCTAATAAAAACATATGAACTTACATTCAATTTTTGACGATAGTTCTATTTGCATGTTTGGATGGTCTTTCCTGGTATAAAGAATAAACTATATATATCAACATTCTAAATCACTCAAGTAACACCTTATAATGAAAAACAAACATATACCACTCTTATTAAAAAATTATTTCATTAAAGTATGAAGTAAGGAACAAAAAAATGAAGAGATCCAGTAATAAGTGAACTGAGTTGCTTCTCTCGCAATTTCTACAAAAAAGAAAGAAAGAATCCTCAACTGTTAAGGGCTGGACGTGTTAGGACTTAGGAGTTGGGCCTGAGGAAGGAATAGGGTTCAACTTTGTTGATATTTTAATAGAGCTAGGCTGTTTAAAATAGCAAAAGACAAAAAGCTCCTTCCGAACTCTGCCCATAAGCCAGAGAAAAGGGAACGGAGTGGGTTCTGGCTAGGAACTTCTTTATATTATTTGGAGGACTCTACTCAGTGATTCAATTTCACACGTCAATCTGCTGTCCAATTCTTTCTTTGGCGGCAAGGCAAAGCGACAACAGAGCCCACAAATAGTTCCGTAATTAGTTTGGGCCTATCCTTTCCAACGAGAAGTTTTGCCTGATTTGATATTAATGGGCTTTTGTTCGACAGGCCTTTTCACCGCTTCTACCGAAAGGAAGAAGAAAAAAAGTGCTGGTACAACGAAGCATGTTCAACAAGAAGTGCAGTTTCCCGTGGAAGGAAAGGGCAAACGTTGCTACAAACCATTACATAAAGCCACATTTATATACAGAGTCGAAAAACGTAGCATATAATTATATTGGCCCTGGAAAAACGCCTTGTTCCCTCTGATCATTCCACCTCTCAATCTGCAGTCACACGACGATGTAACATGATCGTCAGGTACTTACGCCGCGTATCAAGAGGAAAAAACTCGGAGTAATGTAACTAAGATTACCCATTCAGATGGACACAGAGAGCGGTAATACTTGGCAAATTTCTCACACTCATGAGCTTTGTCTTTGTCCTTGTGCTTCAGACACCTACACGCAACCCCGATCATCCATCACATTACATACAAGTGCGAATTAAAAAGCTAGCTAAAGCATTCTTAAGCTCAGTGTTTCGACGCTCCTTACTTACTTACTTACTTACCTGTGGTACTCGATATATCGGGTGTAGCAATGGCGAGTTTGGTTGTTGGCAGGGAAGCGAATGTCTATGGGAGCTGTTCCTGGCTCCAAAAACTTAAATCAAATTGAAATTAATATAGAAACTCTTTAAATCAAGAAAGCAACAAAATCATATCATTGATCCCAGTAACTCGAATTGGTGATCGACATGTTAAGAGATTCCTAAACCATTTCCTCCTCTCCGCAATAATTATAATCCACCTAGTATACACTTAGGACGCACAAACTCACACATACCTTTTTCATGAGCTGATCGCGGTCGCGATCATCGTCGTGATCGTACTGGCGAGGGTCGGGATCAGGGTGCGAAGGGCGCTGGCTAATCTCGCCGGGCTCGTGAGGCGGCCTAGGCGCCTGCTCGCCGCGAGCCACCTTGTTCACGTCCCTCGACCTCATCTTGTCATGTGGCTCCACCTGGGCCGCCGACATGCTTGATATCTACCTTTCACTTCTGAATTCTTCTTATCCTTCTTGGTGCCCGCCGCTTCGTTTTTTTTTTTTTTTTTTTTGGAGGAGATCTCTAGCTCTAGCCTATATATGCGCTGTTCGTCAATGGCCATGGAAGCGCGGTGGTCAAAACTGGACACACTCGTTCATTTGTGAGATGGACACCTGTGGTGATACGTGGATATATATGGCCAGCTGGCCTGTTTGCTCTGTTACCCAGGCCTATCAGGTGAAAAGAAGGCCCAACTAATTGTTTTTGGATGTTGATTCACTCTTGGGCCAAGAGAAGGCCCATCTGCTGTTGTCCGTAGACGAATGACTTCAACGCAAGGAGATGGATGAAGGTCGAAGAACCAGAGGAAACGAGGATCGAAAAGGTTGAAGAAAGATCGGGAAAAGCGAAAGTTTTCAAGGAGCAGTGGACAGATAGACTGTGAGATTGCGGGTTTCAATCATGGCGTGGAGAGGGCAGCTTTCTAAGAATCTCAAGGAGCTTCGGATTCTTCTCTGCCAGTCATCTCCTTCAAGCTCGTCCACTAGGTAAATTTTTTTCCCTTTCTAATCCTTCGCCCCCATTTCGCCTTCTTCTATCACTGTTTCAGAATTGACGCTGCTTTGATTGATGAAATGCTTATGGCAGAGCTTTCATCGAGAATAATTACAAGGATCTCAAGACTCTCAACCCCAAGCTCCCAATCTTGATCCGCGAATGCAGCGGGGTCGAGCCCCAGCTTTGGGCTAGATACGGTAAGTTTTCTCTCATTTCTCATCCATTGATAATAAAAAAAAATCTAGCTTTGATTACACGTTCATCGAATACCCATGGCTTTAGAGGCACCGGGATGATTCTCGGTTCGTTTTCCCCTCAATCTAAGGTAGTTGTTTAGGTTTTCCCATTAGCTAGTTCTTGTTTCCCTAGTAGTAGTTTAATTTCTGTTGCTGGATCAAGTTATAGAATTTTCGCTTAGCCGGAGGCAATCACTATGTGAATTAGCTTTAGATTCAATCATTTTTGGTGTTTCTGATTCATTTAACCTATTGGGCTATATGATATGCTTGTGGGGTTCTGGAATTGGACCTATTTTGAACGAAGGATAGGGTGTAGTAGTAGCATTAGGCCTTCTCTGCAATTTTAGCCATTCAAAGTTGGGAATGTAAATCTATTGACTGCTAAACTTTCTGATGGAAGATTACTTATGGATTCCGCTGAAACTAGCTTCAGATTGGTATTTGAAACTATTGTCGAATTTCTTCAGTATTGTTTAACCGGGCTCGTAACCAAGTTCATCATTCACCTGGAAATATTGGAATATGAACTCTGCCCTCCCTGTTGTTCTCCTTTGGGGCGTGTCGTAACTTTTCTTAACTCATTAAAGTTAGTTAGGCTTGGTAGAATCTATAACGTGATGGTAGACCATTAGGTACTTTTGAATTGTCATTATTGCCGTCAATCATTAAATGGCTTGAGCGATTAGAGCGCGGAGAGTTGTTGGCAGATCAGGGCGAAACACACTGCACATATCTCCTTTTAACTGGTTGAACACTAGTATGTCCTGAATACTCTTTCGGTTCTGTAACGTAGGGTTCAGTGGTTGATTGTTTGTTCTTCCCATTAATATTTGGTTACAATATGTCTCTTCCCTATTCAATTGTCCTTTCCTTCAGACATTTTTTGGATGACCTTTTCCATATCGGTGTTCTGGTTAGATTGCTTCTGGTTATCTGCTGATGTTTAGAAATCTCAGTCATGCTAGGAGGTACCTTGCGGGCGTATAAAGTATATCTGACTGCATAGTTTGGTTACTAGGGCTTTGATGCACTTCATTGCCCATTAGTTTCTCATCGATACTACTGTAGTTTGATGCATTTCCCAATCCATCATGCATTGCTAAGGTTCTATGATCTATGCCGTTTAGTGAAATGATTATGAGTGATTGCCATTGCCAATTACAAGGCGGACTGGCTTTCATAGCTATGGTTCTTGTTCAATCTCAATCACCTGCTTCCCTTCCTTTATCCGTTGCACTTCATTTCATCCCGTCTGCTGCTGCGTTACTTATTCAGTCTCACTCTAACCGTGTTGTCCAATTCCTTTTGATCCCTTTTTAGACATGGGTGTGGAGAGGGGTGTTCGTTTGGAGGGCAAGGACGAAGCACAGATCTCGAAGGCCCTGGAAGAGCTTGTGAAAGTAGGAGCTGCCCTGAAAGCTTGATGCGGTTGCACTTCATTCACATTGGTTCCAACTGTAAGAGCAGTGAAATAAATATGCTACTGTGTTTAAGAAAAGATCTCACCTTGTCAGGTTTTGCAATATTTGCTGATGCATTGCTGCCAGTCTGCTCTTTGCATTTATCATTTATGCTTCGTAGTTCCTTCATGGGAACCAAAACTAGATTAGCTAGCTGGTTCATTTCTTTGTTCCTAGGGGATGTAATAAAGTGAGGTTGGGAGTTGAAATTTGATTGAACTATGCACCGATTCAATCTGTTGATTTTAATCCAAACATTGCTTTATACTTTGGATTGAAGGCTCTTAACTGTTCAGTTCCTGGATACATGGTGGATTTGGCGATTTGCTGTGGATGTGGCCAAGATGCACTAGCTGTGGCCAACTGGCGTATGACTTCGACTTCTTTTCGTAAATGAATGTATTCATTGCTCCTGAAAAAGTAAAAAACAGAACAGTGACGATATTCATGGCTCTGGTAAAGTGTCTGGTTAGTTGGGTTAAAGCTCTCGTGGGTCAAAAAAGCCGCGTGGAGAAACAGATGGTTTTGTCAATTTGTGCTGGTTTTCTACCGGATAAAAGCATAAAAAGTGGTGGAGGGGTCGGCAGGTGTTGTCGCTCTCTCCAAGATTTCCAGCCCTTTTCTCACCCTTTTATTTCCCTGGTTCGGAATAGATAAACCTACATACGTTTTTTCCCCTTCTATTTTAAGGTTGAAAAAACACCGATAGATGCTCAAAGCTGTTCGTATTCATGAGCATGTTTCAAAGTTTCATGTGTTTTCTATCGTTAGATCATATGACGCAACGTATTATTTAATAATGTGTTGGTTTCTTATTCACTCCACAGTCTCAACACCATCATAACCAGATCCAATCACGGTCCAAAGTGCTAGATCTCGCCGAATAATTAATCGATTTAATTAATCCAACAATCACAATAACAACAACAGTAACACATCAAATCTCAAATACTATAATAATAGATAATAAAAGCGACAGTGGTTACAGCACACCACCATGCTCTCTTAATTAATAGTAGTAGTAGTAGTAATTAATCACCAATCACAGTACACATAATATATATTATTATATCATAATAATAATTATAACCACTCACTCGACCAACCCGGTCGGGTCACTCAGATATCCCGGTCGGGTTTGCACTCCTTGGGCAAAACCGGGTACCTGACCCGGTCCTGGCAGTAGTTGTAGATGGTGAACTTCTTGCGCACCCAGCGGAGGCGGCGGTACTGGTACGCGTCCAGGTCCTGGAACTCCTTCTGGTCCCACCACCGCTTCCCCTGGGTGGCGCAGAACTTGGCCTGCACCGACGCCTCGCAGCCGTCCACGTGGAACCCCTTGTACGCCGCGATGAACGGGGCCTTGGACCAGTCCGTCTTCTCGAGCCCGCCGCGCGTGGCCCAGTCGTCGGCGTTCCAGAGGCTGGAGTAGATCTTCATCGGCTGCTCGAACGGGAACTTCACCCCCAGGTTCTTCAGGTTCTTGAACACCCGGATCGGTATGTCGTCCACGAAGAAGCTGCCACGTGTCCCAGAAAAAAAGAGTTTCAAAGGGGCAAGGTTAGATTGGGTGTGCAATGCAACAGAGGAACTCATGGTCACATGGTTGTCAACATAAAATAATACTTCCGTAATTCCAGGCATTGGGGTACGTGGAAATATAATAAGTCTAATTATTATTAGATGGGGTTAGACTTTTTAATTTTGACAAAAATTTCAATCTTCTAGTCAAATGGGTCGTTACTTTTTCTTGTGGGGTGATCTGATTCCATATTGGACAAATAAATAATTTCTTATTTTAAATTTGTATTTATTTAAATGGAGTATAATTTTATCTAAAAAAAATGTTTTTGAAGAACAAAAATTAGTATTGGAAAAAGTTGCAACACGTGAGCCCACGCATGGACTTTTCTTGTGTGTGCCCAATACCAAACTGAGCGACAAAATAATGCGCATGGGAAGAAGTCCCCAAAATGATGACAATAAAGCTAATTTTTTTTTTATAATTATCCTTTTTATGTAATATATTTTTTTATTAGTTTTTGCTACTATATCATTATAGTTACCATAGCTCTGTTTTTAATTTGATAAAATACACATTTAGAAAAAGGGGGAAAAGTAAAAACGGAGGAATTCAAAAACCCAATAATTAGTATTCTCTGTCGCCAGCTAGCCAGTCGCCAGAGCAGAGTAGAGTACTTCAGGTGGGTGAAAGTTTGAAACTCACTTTTACTTTTTACCTACCTGGTGTTTTCCTTATAGACAAGTAAAACAGGATGGTAATTAAACAAAGTAATAAACAAGTTTTACTACTTACGCAATGAGATAGTTGTTCCAGAGAACAGAGTAGGAATGGTAAGCCTTGGTTGGGTCGAACCAGAGGAAGATCCTCTGTTCCCTATCCCCCTTGCCGCCGGTGAACACATTGGTCTGCAGAATGTACGGCTGCCCGGTCCGGTTGCCCAAGAACTCGAAATCTATCTCGTCGTGCTCCGAGTTTTGCGAAGATAGCTGCCACATCAAATTTAATTAGCTATCCATGGTCACAAAGAGTACATTTAGTCGCCGGGAAATTTTCTTTTACTTACATAGAAAGCAGTAACAGTTCCGGCGGAATCTCCGGGAACCATCTTGATCTGCATACTGAAGTGGCCGAACAAGTACGACCCTTTCGACTGGAAACCCGTCCCTGCCAAAACCAACAACAAAAGACCGTTTCTTTTCAGAAAACACGAGGAACCCAAATATGAAATTAGAAAATAAAAATAAAAACAGGGGATGGGTTGAGAGATTACCGGTGTATTTATCCAAGACCAGCTGAATGTCGTTGCCGCCATTGTAGTACTTGATGTGATCGAAAGCCCATGTGGGAGCGTAGTTCCTTCCGAAAGGAACGTTCACGGGCTTCTTCGGTGCAGCAGCCATTGCTCCGGTGAAGACGGTCGCGAGGAGGAGAAGCAGGGGAAGCATGGTTTTCATCAGGTGGTGGTGGGAAGCCATTGTTTCTGCAGATTTCAATTCAAGTTAGGGATTTACGAATTCAGATAGAAAGGAAGACAGAGGAGAGATTTGGGAGAATGGGATTGAAGTATTACCCGTTGATTGAGGAAACATGAAGCAGAGAGAGAGGGGGAAAAGAAAGGGAGGGAGAGTGAGATGTGGGGAAACCTCTGTGGCTGGTCCGTGGGTTTATAAAGAGGAGGGCTTCGTGGCAAACTAGCTCCAATTGCTTTGTCTCTGTCTCTGTGTTGGGAATACTTTAATGTTTTAACAATCGTTTGGTAGGGGTGATTGATTAATACACTGCTAGTAGACAGGGAGAAAAAATTGGTAAAATGAGGTAATAATGTCAAAAAACCCTCCACCGCTCCACGAGGCTCTTTGGTGGCCACCATCTGCCATAGAGACGGTTGAATCAAAGATGCTTTGCTTGTTTTGGATGTAGGAATAGGAACATCATGGAGAAGTTTTGGAATTAACGATATTAGGTGTTACGTTCTTTTGATTTTTTCCCGCTATTTCGGAAAGAAACTTCATAATTCTGTAATTAATAATAGTTGAGCTCTAAATTTGTAGATAGAAGGACATCCTCTAATTCATAGTCTCGTTGACCAGCAATTACAATTTTTTTTTTCTTTTCGTTGAATCAGTTTCCCTCTTTATTAATATGAAAAGATAAAACCAATACAACGAAACAAAGCAAAAATGCTTTGAGGAATGTCAAAAGTCCCTGCTCACTCCTATCCACCCCTGTACATGTGCACTCAACTATTCAAAACCAAGCAACAGGTAAAGAAAACCATCAAAGGTATCCCAAACTCTCAAGGTCCCCCTGCAGCATAGAATTCCCAGCCACCAGGTAACGCAGATCCGCCTGCAGCTGGGCAGCAATCTTCTCTGGCTCTGGCAGCGCACCACCATGCACAACCCTGCAACGCTCACGCCAAATGTACGTCAACACCATACACCAAACCACACCATGCCATTGTAATTTCCCCGAGGGTCGAACCAAATTGCATACTGCATCCAGCATTGCGTCCCAGCCACCTGCTTCAAACAAGCGACAGTGCAAGTTCAAGACAAACAGACGAGCAAAAGAACAGTGCATAAACAGGTGTTCTCTCGATTCCATCGGGTAAGTGCATAATGGGCAAGAGGCAATGGTTATCTTCATCCAGCTCAGAAGTTTGTCCCTCGTCACTATTGCATTTCTGATAACAAGCCAAGCAATAAAGCTATAGCGAGGAGGACAGAACCTATTCCAGACGAGTCTAAACCAAGGCACCTCTGGCTTCTTGGCGCGCAAGGAATCCCAGACTAACCGAACAGAGTACACCTTCATTAATTTCATTCCCCAATAAGTCTCACCATTTCTCTGCTGCATCCATGGCCTAATCTGATCTCTAATTTTGAGTAGCCTCCTCCATGTCCATGAGCTACTGTACTGTGGCTTCAGTGACCACAAATCTGACTGCTTGCATTTATACTCGTACATCCAAGCGACCCAAAGAGTCCCTGACTTTATAAGAAACAGCCATAGCATCCTAGCAGAACTAGCTATGTTCCAGGCCTGGAGATCCTTTATCCCCAATCCCCCTTCTTTCTTTGGAAATGCCAGCTTCTCCCAGGCTACCTTGGCTCTACCCTCTTCACTTCCGTGCCATAGGAACTGAGAACAGACTTTTTGTACCTGTTTTAATACTTTTTTAGGAAGAACAAATAGTTGCATCCAGAACTGTACTATCCCCATCAAAACATAATTCAAAAGCTGTAATCTTCCTGCAAAAGAGAGTTTTTTAGCCCGCCAAGATTTAACCCTCTTTGTAATTCTTTCAACCAATATATCCACTTCAGTAGAGGAAAGTTTCCCAGTGATCAAAGGCAATCCAAGGTACCTAACAGGGAGCTTACCTTCTTGGAAGCCTGAAAGCTGGAGTGCGACAGATTTATACTGAACAGAGGCACCACCAAAGTAAACCTCACATTTGGAAGGGTTACATTGGAGCCCAGAGATCTCATAAAACTGCTGGAGCACCTGCTTAACTTGGAGAATGGCCTGGGCTGAGCCCTCTGTAAACACAATAATATCATCTGCAAAGCACATATGATTCAACTGCACTCTCTTACACTATGGATGGTAGGGAATTCTGTTCTCCTGACTAACTTTCATCAACATAGTAGAGAGCCCCTCCATAGCTATTGTAAATAGGTATGGTGATAAGGGGCCCCCCTGTCTAACCCCTTTCCTAGCACGAAAATAGCCACATAACCCTCCATTAATATTAATACTATAGTGTGCAGTTTGAATGCAACACTTAATCCACTTCAAAAACTGCTCAGGAAACCCCATACCACTCATCATAAGGAAAATATAATTCCAATTCACAGAATTGAATGCTTTCATTATATCAATCTTGATAGCACACCTAGATGAAAGCCCTTGTCTATGATATCCACTAACAAGTTCCTGTGCTAGCAAAATATTATCCATTATACTTCTACCCTTAATGAAAGCTGACTGAGAGGGACTGATAATGGTTGGTAAGACTTCCTTAAGCCTATTTGACAGAATTTTAGCCACAATTTTGTATAAGAGATTTACACAAGATATAGGCCTAAAATTCTTGAGGGTATCTGTAGTGGGGATCTTAGGAATAAGAGAAACAACTGTGGAATTCACTCCACTGGGAAGCTTACCTTGGTGGAAAAAGTCAAGGATCCCTCTTGTGACATCCTCTCCAATAATGTGCCAAGTTTTCTTGTAAAAACCCGGGGGCCTTCTGAGGATTCATACCAAAAACAACCTTTCTGATTTCATCAACAGTGACAGGCTGCACAAGAAGATCCCTCCCCTCACTTGAAACAGTGTGTTGAATCATACCCTCAATATCTTCCCTGCTAGGATTGATATCAGGATTTGCTTCACCCAGAAGTTTCTTATAGTAACCAATAGCTTCCTCCACAATCTGATCAGACTGAACCAACACGTCTCCTGCTGCAGTGATGAGTTTTCGAATTGCCCTTTTGGAGTTCCTGATTTTAACTGCCTGGTGAAAGAAACCAGAGCTCTTATCACCAAACTGCATCAAAGAGACCCTCGAATTCTGCCAACAGAAGCTCTCATAAGCCACCTGAAGCTTTGTACATTCAGCTTTTTTTTTTTTTCCAAGAAATGACAAGAGAAAACCTATACAATCTACCCCGACCCTGCCCAACCCAATACAACAGAGAAGCCAACCCACAAAGTCAAAGGCGCAAAACTCTAAAGGGGAGAGTAACAGTGCTTTCTGCGCCACTCTATGGGCAGCACTGTTAACAGTCCGAGGAACTGCCTAAACTCTAAAGAAATAGAGACGGAAGAAAGGAGAAGGGAGCAATCCCGAAGCACCGGACCTCCAATGGAGTCAGAGAGAGCACCTTGACGAAGCTGCCGAATCACCACCTCTGAATCTCCTTCTAAGATGACCCGAGGCAGCACTTTGGAGACTACAAGGGCGATGGCGTCCCTAGCTGCTAGGAGCTCCGCAAGATAGGGATCAGCAATACCGGGATGGAGAGACCCTAAAGTAGGGGTGGCAGATCGGTTTCCGGTTAGCGGCTAACCGGCGATTTTAACCGCTAACCGCCGGTTAGTCACTAACCGAAAACCGGCCGGTTATTAGTCGCGGTCGGTGTTCGGCAAGACTGAAGGGTTCTCCGGTTAGCCGAGTAACCGAAGGCGGTTAACCGGCCGACCGACCCACAACCGAAAAATATAAAAAAGAGGAGGAATAAACCCTAAATCCCAAAATATTCCGCCCTCACCTCCACAGACACCAATCCCAAAAGAGGAACTTCCATCGGCAGAAACCCACTCCCAATCCCTCCCAGCACCAACCGCCGCCTTCCCCTGCCTCCTCCGCTCCCCCTCCTTCCACCGCCACCACAACTTCCTCCACGACCATCGTTCCTGGTTCCGCCGGCGCGCTCGCGGTGAAGAAGCCGCCTTCGAAGGACAAGCACAGGCACAACAAGGTCGACAGGCACCGGGAAGACTCCGGCGAGCTTCTCCACCGTCTCCGCCTCCGTTCGCTCCGCCGTCTCCGCCTCCGTTCGCTCCGCCGCTGGCCCCAGCCTGGCTACTCTGTCGTCGCTGTCGAAGACCTCCTCCTCCCCGGCGCCCTCGATTGCGCCCTCCTTGGGCTCGTCGCTGTGGTCACGGTCGTCGTCGTGGGTGCCGGAGCCGCTCTCGATTGTGGCGTTGGCGGCGTTGGAGATGGAGATGCCGAGATCTGTTGATTCTGCTGGAGCTTGGTGGTGGATGTGTAGAAATCGAGATCAGTAGTAGACGCTGGAGGGTGGTTGTTGGCGCTTTCGTGTGGGTTCGTCCGGCCAGGGAAGCGAGAGAGAGAGAGAGAGAGAGAGAGAGAGGATGGAGTGCTTGGAGGGTGTGAGATTGAATATTTTTGGTTGGAGAGAGAGAGAGAGAGGGAGGAGGGGATAAGAAAGGAGTGGTGGAGATTTTGTTGTTTTATTTAATTAATTTTTAGTTTTTTTTTAAATGTATTTTTTTTTCGGTTGGTCGGCTAACCGAGCCTAAAACCGGAACCGACCGGTCGGTTGGCCGACTAACCATTACATCTTTTCGGTCGGTGGTCGGCATATATAGGGGGTGGCTCGGTTTAACCGATAACCGGGTTTTCGGTTTTCGGTTAAACCAAAACCGACCGACTGCCACCCCTACCCTAAAGCCAGAGCCACATGCCCATCTGAACTGCGCACCACAAGACCAGACGAGCACCCAGAAGGACGAACAGCAGCATCAAAGTTGATCTTCACAAAGCCAACAGGAGGAGGGGACCAAGACGAGAGGCGAGAAGGGTCTGAAAATGCTAAAAGTTGAGCCTTCCTTAGCAAATCTTCTGATGCCTTCACCTGCCCTTGCAAATCACCATATACCTCTTTATTGAACTGCTTCAGTACTTTCTTTACTTCTTGCAATTTCCTCTGAAGCACCTGCAATGGGGACCCTGTTACCTCCTTTCTCCAAGCTCTCTCTACAGTTTCAAGGAAAAGAGGGTGTTCAGCCCAGAATTCAAAATATTTGAACGGCTTGGGGAGGGATTTGATTGGCACAGCTGTGCAAACTTGAATACCACAGTGGTCTGAGAAGCCTGAAGGGAAGGCCTCCATGGCACAGTCAGGGAACTGCTCAATCCACTCTAGGTTCACCATGGCCCTATCTAATCTACGGGCAATAGGGTTGTTTTGCTGTCTGTTTGTCCATGTGAACTGGGGCCCTGTAGTTCTGTAATCCAAGAGCTCCATGTCTCCAA